TGAGTAGTATTCCATTGTGTGTGTGTATATATATATATATATATATATACACCACATTTTTTTTTGTTTTGTTTTGTTTTACTTTATTACAGTAACATTGGATTATAACATATACCACTTAATACACTCATCAGTCAGTGGGCACTTGGGTTGCTTCCATGACTTAGCTATTGTGAATAATGCTGCAATGAACATAGGAGGGCATAAATCTCTTTGTATTATTGATTTCATGTTCTTTGGATAAATACACAGTAGTGGGATAGCCGGATTGTATGGTATTTCTATTTTTAATTTTTTGAGAAATCTCCATACTCTTTCCCACAGTAGCTGTGACAGTTTGCATTCCCACCAGCAGTGTATGAGGGTTCCCTTTTCTCCACACACTCTCCAACATTTCTTATTTTTTGTCTTTTTAATTATAGCTATTCTAGCATGTGTAAGCTGATATCTCATTGTAGTTTAGATTTGCATTTCCCTAATAATTAGTGACATCAAACGTCTTTTCATTTGCCTGTTGGTCATCTGTATAGCTTCTCTGGGTATATGTCTGTTCATCTGCCCATTTTTTGATTAGGTTGTTTGTTTTCATGTTATTGAGTTGCATGAGTTCTTTATATACTTTGGAAATTAACACCTTATTGGATATATGATTTGCAAATATTTTCTCCCAGTTGGTGGGTTGTCTTTTTGTTTTGTTTATGATTTCCTTTGCCTTGCAGAAGATTTTTAGTTCGATGTAGTCCCATTTATTTATTTTTTTCTTTTGTGTCCCTTGCTTGGGTAGACATGGTATTCAAAAAGATGCTGCTAAGACCAGTATCAGAGAGTGTACTGCCTATATTTTCTTCTGGGAGTTTTATGGTTTCAGGCCTTACATCCAAGTCTTTAATCCATTTTGAATTAATTTTTGTGTATGGGATAAGATAATGGTCTCCTTTCATTCTTTTGTATGTGGCTGTCCAGTTTTCCCAACACCATTTATTGAAGAGACTTTCCTTTCTCCATTGTAAGTTCTTGGCTCCTTTGTTGAAGATTAGCTGTCCATAGATAATGGATTTAGTTCTGGGGTTTCAATTCTATTCCATTGGTCTGTGTGTCTGTTTTTTGTGCTAGTTTCATGCTGTTTTGATTACTATAGATTTGTAGTATATTTTGAAGTCAGGGATTGTGATGCCTCCAGCTTTGTTCTTTTTTCTGAGGATTGCTTTGGCTATTCGTGGTCTTTTGTTCCATATGAACTTTAGGATTCTTCATTCTATTCTCCTGAAGAATGTCAATGCTATTCTGATTGGGACTGCATTGAATCTCTAGATTGTTTTAGCTAACATGGACATTTTAACTATGTTTATTCTTCTAATCCATGAACATGGAATCTCTCTCCATTTCTTCATCTTCTTTCATTTTTTTCAATAACATCCTACAGTTTTCAATGTATGTCTTTCAGCCCCTTGGTTAAATTTATTCCTAGGTATTTCATTCTTTTTGTTGCGATTGTAAATGGGATTATATTCTTGACTTCTCTTTCTGCTAGTTCGCTACTAGTGTTTAGAAATTTAACTGATTTTTGTAGGTAGATTTTCTACCCTACAACTTTGCTGTAGTTGTTGATGATTTCTAATAGCTTTGTGGTGGATTCTTTAGGATTTTCTATATATAGAATCATGTTGTCCTGGAGGTAGCATATTGTTGGGTCTTGTTTTTTAATCCACCCAGCCACTCTGTGTCTTTTGATTGGTGAATTCAATCCATTTACATTTAGAGTGATTTGATATATGAGGGCTTAACACTGCCATTTTGTCTCTTTTTTTCCAGGTGTTCTATATTTCCATGGTTTTTTTCCCTTGTATTTCTGACTGCCATTTCAGTTTAGTGGTTTTCATTGATGGTTTTTTCTTTATGATTTGTGGTTCTGCTTTGATTTTCTGTTTAGTGGTTACTATGAGGTTTGTCTAAAAGATCTCATAGATGAGATAGCTGATTTTCTGATAGCCCCTTATCTCCACTAGCCTAAGCAGGTTCTATTCCTTTCCTCCTCCTTGAGTTATTGGTGTCACAAATTACTGTTTTTTGTGCTGTGAGTCTGTGACTAAACTGTTTATAATTATTTTTTATGCTTTCCTTCCCTTTATCTTCTATAATTGTTGGCTAAACTGTTATGATAGAGAGCTGCAATTTTCTGATTTTTTTTCTTCTTATCTCCTTTTCATAGCTTTGTAAACCTGTACCTTTTTGTTACAGGTGGGAGGGCTTCATTCATCATTTCTTGTAAGGGAGGTCCAGTGGCAATGACCTCCCTCAGCTTTATCTGAGAAAGCTTTTATTTCTCCATCATATCTGAAGGAATGCATTCACTGGATAGAGTATTCTCGGCTGAAAGCTTCCATCTTTCAGAATTTTGAATATATCATTCCACTCTCTCCTAGCCCATAAGGTTTCTGCTGAGAAACCCACTGAAAGCCTGTTAGGGGTTCCTTTGTAGGTTATTTTCTTCTGTCTTGCTACCAGTAATATTTCTTCTTTGTCATTGACTTTTGCCAGTTTTAGTATTATATGCCTTGAAGAATGTCTATTAACATTGATCTAATTAGGAGTTCTATTGTCTTCATGTATTTGTAAGTACAGTTATTTCTGCAGGTATAGGAAGTTCTCATCTGTTATTACTTTGAAGAAGCCCTCTGCTCCTTTTCCTCTCCCTTCTCCCTCCAATCCTTATACTGCTTTTCTTGAGTCAGATTATTTCTTTAAGAATTTCTTCATTTCTTTTCAATCTTAGTTCTCTCTCCTCTGTTATTTCTCCCCTCTAATTCACTAATTCTGTCTTCTGTAACATCAGCTCTGTTTTTTATGGTTTCTAGATGATTTATCTCATTGTGTTCTACACATCTAGAATTTGTTTGGTTTCTTTAGAGTTTCAGTCTCTTTGGTGAAGTATTCCTTCTGCTCATAAATTTTATTCCTGAGCTCACTGAACTGTCTTTCCAAGTTTTCTTGTAACTCATTGAGTTTATGACAATTATTTTGAATCCTCTGTCATTTCAATTGTAAATTTCTGTGAGTTCAGGATTGGTTTCTGGAGACTTGTCATTTTCCTTCTGCTCTGAAGTGTTACTGTAGTTCCTCATGGTGTTTGATGAATTGATCCTTTGCTGGCGCATCTGTGGTAGTATCAGATGACAGAGTCTATGTGCTACCACTGCAGGGGAGCAAGAGCTGTTTTCTGATCCTGCCCTGTCTGCTGGAAGTGGCACAGGTGGTGCTGCTGAGCTCAGCAGTGGACAGGCTGAGCCGCTGTGCTAGCTAAGAGGGGTGCATATGTGGTGGCTGAGTTGCCACTTAGTGGGTCCTATGGGCTGCTATGCTTCGCAGGCAGGGTGCCTTCTGAGTTGGTGGGGTGCCTTCTCACCTGAGCTGCACTCAATTTGTGGGCACCTGCACATGAGCTGAGCTGCCACCACTTGATGTAGAGCATTCCCACTGGCGGGGCTGCCATGGCACAACTGGTGCTCCCACAGGCCAGGCTAGAACACTAAAAGCGTCCACATGGTCTGGGCTGCCCCTACCTCCTGTTAAAGACACCCCAGCCACTGTGTGTGGATCTGCCACTCGGCTCACTGCCACTGGGGAGGGAGAGAGGTGTGCCCACCTAGTTCCACTGCCTCCCGGGGATCTAGTCCCCCCACCTTCAGATGCACAGCTGTGTGGATCTCTCAGACGTCCTATTGTGCTGTGCAGGGAATCCTCAGCTGGTTAATCAACGTCCATTTAGTTGTAACTTACAGGGGAGAGACAAAGGGAACAACTCACTCCACCATGATGCTGAGGTCACCTCCCAGAAAGTCAAATATTAATTTTAAAAATATCTGGTACACTATAATGTGTAGATTTTTAAATAGTTTACCTTTAAGACTCAGTATAAAACACACAGCTTCTCTCAAGTTGTTGCAAATTGAAATATACTTCTGACTTTATAGGCATTAATGATCTTATTTTTTAACAAAATAAAGATGAAACTCAACCATAACTCCTTTTAGTTACAACATCTTAAATTTGGCTTCATTACCAGAAACAGCGTGTTTTCAAGAACTGGATCTTAAGTCTATTTTTAGTTTCAAAACAACTTTATTTTTATTTGATTATACTCATTGTAGAAAAATGTGAAGAGATAGAAAAATATAAAGAAAATTGAAATTTTCCCTCCCAGTGTCCCTCCCCCAAACACAGTAACAAAAGATTCTATATCTATCTCTTTCTAGGCGTTTTGTACATTTAAGTAGAATTTTAAAACAAAAGCAGTACTGTAAAACACTTACATATCCTTTTCTCATTTCATATTAGAGAGTTGCCATTTCTTAGGACATTAAAGATTATGTGAAAACATTCTCGTCAGTTGGCTGCTTCACAATCTAATTAGAGCTAAATTATAATTTACCTCCAATTGTTGGATATTCAGATTGTTTTGAATCTTTGCTATTATAACTAACACTATATTGGAGATCCTTCTTTATACCTAATTCTTTGTATGCATCTCCAATAATTTTTTAAAGATAAATTCCTAGGAGTAACCAGCACAAAGGGTGTATTTTTTAAAGTCTTTTGATACATTTTACCAAAGTGCCCTCCAAAAAGATTGTACCAATTTACATTCACATCAATAAATGGCCTAAGAGTCCCATTTCTTCTTATTCCTTGCCAACATAGGAAACTGGATGTCAACTCCCACCGTTTATTGTTATAAATTTAATGGGGAAGGGTGAATGATATCTTCTTGTCTTTTTTCTAAAGTATACGACTTTCCCAATCATTTGCTGGTCATTTGCGTTCTTTGTTTTTTGAAGCAGTCCACGTCCGATAGGCATCTCTGACTCATGCAATGTCTTGTCTTATATGTTCTTCCTTAGCACGCAAGGACATGAAAGCTGCACGTTTTTCAAAGTTAGGCAGGAATTGCCCAAGTGTGTACAATTAGAAAGTCGTCTTCTCTTCTGGGCAGCCATGCTATTTTAATGTTTTGGTAATAAGACAGAAAACTGGGCCATATCCTGAAAGGAAGAAAGCAGGCACAGATTACAATCAGCCAAGCACTTATCACAGGCAGTGGGTTTACAGATGTGTGAGCATGATAATCACCTGGAGTGCTTGTTAAAAACCAGATTTTTATTTTATGGAGTGAGGTCTCAGGGGACATACACTTTTAACACACTCTCCAGAATATTCACCAAAGTTTGAAAATCACTAACCAGATGTGGGACTTCTGGCATCGCTCCGAACTCTTGGTCCCTCACTCTCCTTTCCTGTAAAGTGACGTCCATCACACTTATCTAGAGGACTGTTCTGATTCTCACTTATCTCCATCCCCTTTCACATCCACCAGGACACATTTTATACGCCAACCCTCGGCCTGGATTATCGTTTATGCAACCCCCAACTTTCACCTTATCCTGCTGAAAAAAAGTCCATTGAAATTTTAGTTGTGAGCATCTCCAAAGAGAATAGGGTCTTCTTCATCACTGCAAGTCTCATGTGTCTTTGCAAACCACAGCTGGACTTACAGTGGGTGCTTACTAAGTGTTTCTGGAATGAATTCGTGAGTGAATGAATGATATACATTTCAGTGCTGGAAGGACTGGAAACACGACCCCAGAATAAGGGGATTGGGGGTTCCTTCACGCTGTAGAATGGAGGCCACGATTCTCAACTGTGTCTAGAGCAGCAATTCTTCATTTTCTCTTTTTAGGTCATACATCCCACTTGGAGAATCTGATGAAAGCTACAGATACTAACACTTTCTAAAAACGCAGACATCCAAAACCACACAAGTTTACATACACTTTCAGAAGCTTCCTAGAAGGAAAAGACAACACTCATTTCTACCTTCCAAGCATTTTTACTTAAAAATGAAGCTGAAGTAATAAATTTATTGCTTGAGAAATTATCTTCGAGCTCAAGAAACTAAAGTCAAAATGGGGTCAGTTGGGAAACTTAAAGAAAGAAAAAAATCCCACCATACCTTGCAGGTAACATTAGCCTCAGCAGCACAAAGTATGTGTCACATTTCCCACCAATCAATAGCATGCTTATTTAGACAAACTAAAGCCAGGCTGCTCTATGGCATTGCATGCATCTGAATGTAACTGTTTCTAGTTTAAACTGACATTCTCCAATTCTTAGAATTTATTTTCTGTTTCACTTTTCTTCATAATTATAAGGGCTTCCTGTACTTCAGTTATGATGGCACACTTCATGGGAGAAACGGGCTGTCATTTATTCATTAATGAACATTTATCTCCTAGGTATACAGGTTGAAACCAAAACACGTGTTTCCTGCTCCTCACAGACTTTAAGTCTACTAGGGAAGACAGATTACAAATTCCAGTATCCCTGACTTTGCAGTCCTAAAGGCTGAGAGGCACCCTAGTTACACTGGTGCACGTGAGCCTGCCTGTACCAGCTTGCAAGAAGTGACTGTGTGCATCACTTCCCAGCTTATCAGGGGTTTCATGCTGATAGTTTGAAATCAGCTGTGCTGGAGAATTTACACCACATAAATCAGGAAACACTATAAATCATGGCTCCTCCACGCCCATCAGCTGTCAATCATTTACTACCATATCATGTCATCACACTAAAACTGTCACTCTCAGTGCGGGGCTCCTCAGTGGTAATTCAGCAGTGTAGGAAGGGCTTACATCAACCTTTCAAGTCCCCTCTCAACTACTGCCATGAGACCCAAGAGCACAGGCGTGTTCTAGGAGACCTCAGGATATGCAGGCTACCCTCTCTGGATACCAGGTCAACGTGATATCTGACCAATGTGAGGCAACTCCTTATCTAATGTGCTTGATCAAGAGAGTTATATATGTCCAATAAATGTCCAAATGAAAATCACGTATCTCTGAGCTTGGTAGTCAGTTTAAATTATATTCTGGGAATGAACACAGTTATGCTTCGCTTAACAGCAGGGCTATGTTCTGAGAACTGTGCTGTTAGTGATTTTGTTGTTGTGTGAACAACCTACAGTGCACTTACACAAACCTAGATAGTACAGCCTACCACACACCCAGGCTATACGGTACTAATCTTATGGGACCGCGGTCACATATGCAGTCCATTGTTGATCAAAATGTCATTATGCAGCACACGACTACACTGGAGCTGAAAAGCTACCAACATGCAGCCCATCTGATGTTCACCATGAATTACTGTCTTCACGTGATGCAACATTAACTGTAAGCAGACAGTCCCCAGCACCATTTTGGTATTGCTATGTCAGTGTCTCAGCTTTAAAGGCTGCCGACACTTTGCATGGATCTGCCAAAGAGAAAACAGCTTTGTCAGCAATGTAAGGTTCGGGCAGAGCAGGCACTATGAATCTTCGGAAGACTTAGAGACACACTGCAGAACGGGACAGTGCCAACAACCTGGCAGACTAGATAAGAAAACGCTCCCCACCTCACCTTCCAATGGTCTTGCATTACTAACCAGAATATATGACTACTCAGTTTCACAAACAGTTAGTATGGTAGTAAATGGCATGAAAATTTGCAGAAAACCTCTAGGCTAGTATAAAATACATGAGTAGAGGGACCAAGCTTGAAGTGCAAATAAGAGGAAAAGGCAGCTGAGGGCCTATGGAAGCGTCTGCTTGCAGATGGCTGAGGATACTCACCTTCAGAGTACGAAGAGTCTCTGACCATTCCATGGACCCTATCTGGGGTATGGTACTGAGGAGTAAACTTTTGGCTTTATTGCCATTTTCTTTCAGAATCTTTAAAACCCGGTCCACTGAAACCTAGAGAAACAACGGCATAGGATGTTACCAGCAATTAAAAATTGCACTGCTTTTCATGGAACATTTTTCTGAGTTCCTACCGGATCTGTGAAGTCAGTTTAGTCCAGTTTCAATCTGGAGACCTGCAAGCTGGGCATTTATCAAGGTGGTCTTGGTCCCAGTGGGGAGGTCTTGGAACAACTCAATATTTCTGAAAAGCACCGCTGGTTTTCAATATAGTGTCTGAGGATCTTCCTCAGATGTTTAACGTGTTAGCATGCTCTAGAAAGCTGCGTCTATTCCTCCCATGCCCAGAGAATGAATTCCAGTCTTAAAACTGTTGCCAAACTAGATAATCAATCAGAAGATAAGCACATTTCCATTTAGAGAAGTCTTCCAATAAAGTCTTGTAATAAAGAAAAATGATGGAATTAACATATCACCATTTTTCATTTTACAGCTCTCAATGAATTAATGAATGCGAGCTAACCTCACGAAACAAAAATACCTAAAACCAAACAATCCATTTTACTATGCTTCCTGATGGAAAGACAAATCACTACTTATGACACCTGAATCTGATCAAATCTCTAGATCCAGCTGCCAATTTACAGAAAACAGAGGACAGACCAAACTGCTAACCTACTAAGGAGATGGTTACAGCAATTTAGACTGTGGGAAACTCTACGGGACAAATAACCTGATTTCTTTTTTGGAAAACTTGGAAGAAAAGCATCCTTTATTTTATTTGAGAAAACCAGAAACTTGATCTTTGCCTGGATATATTAAGGCATTATTGCCAGAATGTGATAACGATAATGTAGTTATGTTAGATATCGCCTGACATATTTATGGATAAAATTATGGATAAGAGCATAGATGAAATATAATTGGCTGTAAGCTGATGTGATAATGGTTGAAGCTGGATTCTGGAGTCACGGAAGCTCATGCTATTGCCTACTTTGTACACGATTGAAATTGCTTCACAAAGAAAAGCTGGAAAAAGTTGTGATTATAAAGTGTACAATGAGAGGTAGAGAACTTGTCACACTTCGCTATGCTTAGAAAATCTCTAAGATTCAGGGGTTCCATGATTGCACCTTTCTTTCTACTTCCTGGAATATAAAGTCCAGATCTGATAAATAAAAATGGCAAGCAATAGGATATATTGTAGAATATGAGGAAGCCATTTGGTGTAAACCTAATTCAGCCTGACCTTATCTTTCCAAAAGGGCCTGACCATGGCTGTTGAGCATGCATTGTATATCTGCTTTAGATATTCCCCAAGGCAAGAACAAAGGCCCTTGAGATAAAGGTGCAACTTCCCTCCCGCTCCCAGTTGGCGTCTCCTTAAGGATTATGCATCTTTCCTTAGGCTAGAAAGTGATTGCTGCACTCACCTGTGACGCCCAGCTTGAGACAATAGACTTGCCTCCTGCTACGCCCACCAAGATAGCAGACCCACTACCTGCTGTGTCCATCAAGCACTGTGCTGACGGGGCAATCTTGTGACTATTGTGGGAGGGACATTTCAATCATATGTGAAACACCCTGTTTGGGGGTATATAACCACTCTGTGCACCCCACTTCTTTGGTGCCCTTTCTTCCTTTGGAAGAAAGGCCCTGGGCCATGGTCCTCAGATTTCAGCTCAGAATAAACTCACCCAAATTTTCATTTATAGATTGGTTATGGATTATTTCCGTCGACAGATCCCTCCCACAAACACCAAAATGTGTTTAGAAAAAAATGAGCACCAGAGCAGAGGAAAGGTCTCATTACTGTGGGAACACAAAGCAGTGACAACTTGGGTGCCTGCCAGCTACAGGTAAACACATGTCTTAAGTGGAGTCTGAATGCAGGCTCATAAAGCATCCAAGACATCTACCCTACATTTACTCTTTTCCTGTGACCGATATTTCTTTATAGACTCTGACCTCTCTTTCCTCCTCTTTGCTCCTGCTCTTGGGCTCCACCCAAAATGCCCTTTCTACTAACCTCCTCACATTCAAATCTAATCTAATCTAATCTAAAGGTCCAGCACAAATCTCAAAAGTTTCCTTCACAAACTTGTTTTTGGTCTCCCCACCCCCAACTCCACCCTAGCTCCCATTTGATGACCACGTTCCTAGGAGCCAGCATTATTCCAGTTGCTCAGCATATATCATTTGGTTTAACTCTCCTAGTTATCCTGCAAGGTCAGAATTGCAACTAAACAACTCACACCCGTCACCCCCAAGCCCCGGCTCCATCCTAGAGAAGAGTAATGGGGTAAATAATGGGCCCAGTGTCCCAGGTAAATAGAACAACGGCAACATGAAGATGGGTTGAGGCAATGCAAAAACCTTCCCCCCACGCCAGGCTGCACATCTGGTTTGAAGCACAGTGACACACATGGCTGGCTGAGATGATGCCATCTTGGACTCTGCCTTCCTTGTGGCATTTAACAGTATTTGCCTTCACGCCTTTCCACTTACACAGGGTTCAGTTTCTCTGCTTTTAACTGAAGTAGCTCTAACTGTATGCTTTCCAACCCTCCTGTGGCCAACTAAAGGGAAGCAGCGTTAGCTCTGCAGAAGAGGAGACAAACGTCACCAGGCTGAGCACAAAGCCAAGGCAGGAAGCAATCTGCTCTCGGGACGTGAAAAGGGCTGGACCCTCCTATTTGTTGGTGGCTTCTCAACAACATGAGGCTGAGCTGCCCCTTAGGTGACCAGAGCTGCCCAGTGAGACATTAGGTTGTGCTAGGATTTGGAAATTTCTTACAGAAAAGCATCCTAGGAGTTAGCAAGGGTGTATTACACTGAGGAGTGAGGATAAGGCATTCATGCCAAACAAAGAACCTGAGCTCCTCTACGACCCAACTCCCTAAAGATGGATGGACAGACAGCAAGAGTCTCTGACCCTGCATCACATGGAATTGGATGGTGAAACCAGCAGCTCTGAGACGGTGATTCAGAAACCCCCTGGGTAAGATGCCACCTCTCCTAAATGTGCTCACAACAGCCAGCCTGCACCCCTCCCTAACGTCAACACTCCCGGAGTGCGCTTCTGTCCCTTTCTCTACCTTAAAGTAAGATAAATGATAAGACAAATGATCAGGTTTCTTCAAGTAAAATGCATAGAATGAAAAGAGAGGGAGGGGAACATGAGAGTAAAAGAGACTTAAGGGAGATTATTGAAACATAACATGTGCATTTTAAGGGACCCTGATTTGAATGGTGAAAAACGGAGACCAGGGAAAATGTGAACAGTCTGGATATTTGATTACATTAAACAGTTAATATCAATATTTTTCATATAATAATTGTGTTGTGGTTATTATTGTTATTTTATTTTAAAAATAGGCCTTTTAGAAAAATATTTACTTCAAACTAATGAGGGCAGGGGGAGAGAGAAGTAGGTAGGGACTCATACGTGACACAGGGACGGGCCATGGGTGATAACTGTGGAAAGCTGGGTGATGGGTAACTCAGTGTTCATTAAACTAGACCCTCTACTTTTGTGGAGGTTTGACGTTTTCCACAAAGAAACTGTTTGTTTTGGAAGCCTGATCTCAGTGCTCCAGTGTCCTCAAACACCAGCTGGACCCTGCCACCTTTCCTGCCTAAACCCCTCACTGCCCTCCCATCCGAAATCCTTCCATGGTCTACGTGGCCTCGCCCCCCTCTCGCTCCCTCTGCCCTCTCCACTCAAGCATGCCCATCTTTCCTACCACACTTCAACCAGGTCGGCTTCCCAGACTCCAAATATCTGCTGGGTCAATGGGATACGTGCTCCTATATCTCATCACACTATTCTTTATAACTCTGAGCTTTCTCACACTGGTTTGCTTAACCTCTACCCCCTCGCACTCCCTCCAAAACCAAAGCATTAGCCCCTTATGGACTTGTCTGTTTGCTGTTGCATTCCTACACCAAGGATGGTATCCAGTCAGGGTAAGTTAAACAGACAGGTATGAATATAGAGTCCTCTTACCAGGAAGATGTAATAGGTTTCTCCCTTTGAAAACAAACAAAATAAACAGCAGCACAGCATAAGGAAATTATCACCAAAAGACCCTTTATCCTTAAAATAAGGCCCAAGTCTCAATATGATCCCCAACATGCCTACAATGTACTGTTCATTCTTGACCCTTGGATAACAGTGTCTTTTTCTTCCCCATGAAGATCTTTGTTCTTAACTTCCAGTGGGAGCTACAGAAAGTATGTGGCAATGTATGAAAAGCTGACTTTACAACCTGGTAGCAGAACACTTTCTGGAACTAGTGCGAGAGAGACAAATAGTTAAGACACTCTCTTAATGGCTCTCAAGGCACCTGGAAACCCAGGCCATACTCGTCCAGAAGAGAATTCCACCTACCTCTTCCTCATTCTCCTTCCAGCAATCATAATCTGTTGCCAAGGCGATGCTGGCATAGCAAATTCCAGCCTCCTTAGCAAGGACCGCCTCTGGAACTGTGGTCATGTTGATAACATCCGCCCCCCAGGCGCGGAACATGAAGCTTTCTGCCCGGGAGCTAAAACGAGGTCCCTCGATTGTGACCATTGTCCCTTTCGAGTGGCACCGGAGTCCTAGCTTCTTAGCATTCTCTAAGAGGACCTAGAAAAGAAACAACCACAAACTCAAAACGTACAAACACAAGTAGAGCTTAGTATTTTATTTTTTCCCTGAGGTTTAATAAGTTAATTCCTTAGTTAACGTCTTTTACAGTGAGTGCCTAGTACCCGCAGGTCCTCAGAGAGAACCTGGGAAATCACAGAAGGGTGCTTCCTAGACGCTCAGCCACTTACTTAATCTGGTTCCCCAGCCCCTTGTAGACAGCTCACGGCTACAAGAGCAAACAGCGAGCTTTTTCTATCCACCAGGCATTTGTAGACATACTGGAATCTCAGTGACTTCTTAACAGCTTGAAGAGACTCAGCTGGGCTGTGAACGTGAACTTGGATCTGAGCTCTTCACCTCCAAGGCTGAGCTCAGGGGCCGCTGCTCACCCACATCTCCTCAGAGAGACACACTGAGAACTGCTTCCCAGCTCCTGAGAAATTACGCTCATTACCCTTACAAAATCTGAAGACTTTTGTAAAAGCTTTTTTTGGTTAGAAAGTGATTTCTTCATAATCTCCTTTGTCTGCTGCCTCTCCAGGGACATATGGTCAAAACAGAACGAGGCCGTGCTGACTTTTTTCTTTCCAGGGATAAACTTATCTTGGCATCCCTTTAGTGGCAAGGCCATGCAGGAATTTTATTTTTATTTATTTATTTAATTTTTTTTTGAGGAAGCTCAGCCCTGAGCTAACATCTGCTGCCAATCCTCCTCTTTTTGCTGAGGAAGACTGGCCCTGAGCTAACATCCGTGCCCATCTTCCTCCACTTTATATGTGGGACGCCTACCACTGCATGGCTTGCCGAGTGGTGCCATGTCTGCACCCGGGATCCGAACTGGTGAACCCCAGGCTGCTGAGAAGCAGAACATGTGACCTTAACTGCTGTGCCACTGGGACGGCCCCCATGCAGGGGTTTTAGAAACATTATTTAAAAGTTTGATCACTTTTTCCACTGTCTATTTAATAATGCATTTCTAATCTTCAGGTTATTAATTAATTTCAATTTTTTCTTAGCCTGTGCTTCAACACTGTTTTTAGCAAAAAAAAATTAGTCTTTTAAACTTAACTGTTAACCTACTCAAGCACTGATGAAAATTCACTTAACCTTTGTATGACTTAGTTTTCTCATCTGTAAAAGGGGACTGATAATGTATAACTCAGACGTATTGTGAAAGTTAAATAAGCTAAGGAAGATACAGCACAGAACTGTGTCGGGGACAGCGTCAACACTATGTAAATGCTAAACTGGTCTCCTAACGATTAACAGTGGCAGCTTCTAAAATGTTTCCCAAATAACTGGCAAAGGTTCCTGGGATACTACATATATAAAAAGGAGTGACTCAAAGTCAATCGAAGGCTGCAATGTAGGCCAAAGTCTCGCCTGCACATGTCTGAACCACATAAGTGAATTAACCTAGTTCCTTAAAAATAACTCATTCTGTGCTATGGCGTTGGGAGAAAGAATTTTAACAAGCGCCTTGGCAACTCCAAATTTAGAACCATGACAAGTCACAGACAATGAACAGTTGATGCTACATCAGGCTGATTTATCCTACAGACACTGATAAGATTATGGTTAGTCACAACTTTTCCCCAAAGAGCACAGGTTATACATTCAAGGGCCTAAACCACTCTTTCCTCCCCTGACTGCCGCCTTTTTTTCCTCAAAATTAAGATATAAACAGCTCAGTCCTGTCTTCATTAAACGTCTTTAAAAATCCCAAATAACCAAGCTGCATGTCTCAGCCACACTTCCGAGTGCTTCCAGAGATGTGTGAGGGACCACCCCAACTACCGCGTGCCACTGGCCTGCAGCACGTAAGTCCACCCATCACCCTGGGAGGTGGGTACCATGATGGGGAGGAGGTGCAGGCAGAGGCTGTGGATGTGGACCAGCCACAGACAGACCCCGGGGCGGTACCACCTGAACCAGTAACTTGCACCCCCATGAGAACCGCTAATGCCATCCCAAGGGACCAGAAATACAAACCACAGGCTGAGACATCTCTGGGTCTGAGGCTAAGATGCTTTCACTTCCATGTCTTGAGTAATCATAATGGAACTTCTAAATCTATTGCCATTGTCACAAATGCACTATTAACAATATTATATCACCAGGCTAAATATATTTAATGTGTCAGAATTTTCAGAGTTTGTTTCAGATGCCCTCCTAAAGTGACTAGAAGTGAAACTATTCTGGGAATAGTTAACACTCGCATACGGCCCAAAACATAAATGGTACAAAATGATATTATTCTGTGACAAGTATTTCTTTCACCTGTGTCCTGGAAAACCAGTTACCAGTTTTTTGGTCAACTTCCCAGAAAGAGTTTATTTACACGTAAATATGTTCATATTAATCTCTTTATATATACACATATTTAACACAAATGGTAGGTACGGTACAACCACTGTGCATCTTGCTTGCCACCTGACAATTCAACTGACAGTCCTTCCTCATGAGTACGGGAAAGATCATGTGAATGGTGACAGTGAAAGTGACAATTACCAAGGGCTGCATCATCTACTCTTCCCATTTTTGGACAGTATTTAAAAACTCTCTTTTAGAGTACAGAAGAATAAAGGAATATTCTGGAGGCTTATTTTTCCTATTTTCTTAAACCTACTTCCCCAGCACTCTTTAGTTTTCACGTGGGTGTCCTTGGCTTGGCTAGACTACTAACAGCTGAATTAATTCAGTCTCAAGGGAGGCCAAACAGTATTATCGGAAACTGTCATCAGCCACCACATTTACATGCACTCAGCATACAGCATGAACACTCCCTGCGCCACCTCTACTCCTGGTGACATAGATCACCATTTTCTGCCTGAGACCATATCTCATACTGAGATCTCATATCTCATACTAACATGCATTTTCTCTCCCTAGTCCATTTCTCACCAAGCTGCCCCCATTTTGAAATGGACGAGAATTTTATATACATCTAATTTCCTCCGGAGAGCAGATTTATTACGTGGACAGATCAGTGTTTCAGGGGGAAGGCCAGCAGCACATCCTGATGCGTTCTGCTGATAACCACCCAGAAATACATACACCTAAATACACACATTCATGCAAACTGAACCTGCCATTTTTTTCAAACAAGTAAAAAAAAAGAACTTCACAGAAGTCAGAGAATCGACATGCCATGCTCTATCTGAAATGGCCCCCAACCCCCGGCTTTGGATTCCAGATTTTTGTTGGAGACCAGAGTGAGGTGCCCTGCTGTGAACTAGAAGGAAACCAGTGGCACAGGATTACGCAGGCTAAACAGAAAAGCTAAACTAAACCTACTTTCCATAGGCAGGTGATAAGATTATCTGAATGAAGAACATGCTTAGGTATTTATATTCTCTAAGCTAATTTATAAAGCAGATTTGACCAGGCAGTTTTCCTCTGACAATACTTCTGATCTGTTGGGTCCCACCTGACTGATAATCTGGGATTATCAGACAAGCACCATTATGGACCCAATGACGGACGCTGAGTCGTGGTACCATTTTCATCCTCTGAGAGCTGAGGCTGCGCTTCCGCCCCTTCCACCACCACTGGCCTTTGTACGGCCGCCCCTCTGTCTGAGCTTTTACTATAATCCTGGAGGGGAGGCTGGACAGTAATGGCCAAACTCAGCTCAAAGCAAATGATGCCAATCTGACAATTTACAGATTATCAATAATAATCTAATTCACAAAAGAAGTAACCAGTCCTTGGCTATCTCATAACTGACAGATTCTGTTCCAAGCATTTTGTAAGTATTAACTCTTTTTTCTGTCACACAGTCCTAGAGGTACATGTTATCATCACCTTGATTTTACAAATGAGGAAACGTAAGCCCAGAGGTGTTAAGCAACTTGTCCAATGATCACAGGTATTAAGCTGAAGAGCAGAGACTTGATCCCAAGTAATCTGGTTCCAGATACCATACTCTTGACTAATATACTATCTTATACTAAATTATTTAGAAGGTATCCTGACAACAACATCTAAATTTATTAAAAGAGTAGGTTACAACTTTGAGAGTCAGCTTACAAATAATTGAGAGTAGCAGAGGCGTTATTAGCAAAGGGAAATAGCTCTTCGTTAAACCTTGCATGAGAAACAAACTGGAGAGGGAAGAAGGACCACGTGCTTAGGCAATTCATCTAACTCTAGATGCCACCCCAAGCCCTTATGATTTATTGTGGTGCAACTTCCAGAAAGTCTACACACCTGTCTGGTTTTGGGGCAGAATGGGTCAGCTGCTGGAATATGGCACACTCCTCTGGCACAGGGGGAAGTTCCGTCATAGAAGGTCTGAGGTCTCTTGGTGGTCCTACAAAGCAAAGAGAAAGGTTTTTGGGTTTTCTTAAAGCCATCTCTCCATACTCTGTGCGCTGGTCAATCAACTGCATCCAGGCCAAGCTGTCGGTCCTCACTCCAGCATCAACAGCTCTGAACAAGTTGAAGACAACAGTAAGAGAAGCAGCTCCGAGATGGTATTCAGCTTGTCTGGCTCTGAGTCGATGGCTACATGCTTTCCAACGGGAATTAAAATGTCTGTGGTCTGGCGGCTGTGACGCGATAACCACACTGGACTGTAGGGACAAATCATCTGCGGGCTCAGGAGGGCAGGTGACGCACTTCAGAAGTCAATAGGAAACTTTCAATCATCGCAGATGTAGAGGCTTGTACAGTGAACGCCATATATACCCATCACCTAGACTCAGCAATTTCCAAAAGTTTGTCAAACTTGCTTCACCTGTTAGATTTTCCAGGGTTGCAAAACCAAACATCGTCATTTTATCCCTACCTCAGATCCACCAAAATATGTGGATTATTTTCCACTGAAATGTCATTATCACATCTGATAGAAATAACATCAATTCCTCAGCATCACATAATACAAAGGCCATATGCAATGGCCTCAAAAATGTCTCTTTTTTTAAACAGTTGCTTTGATAGTTTCAGGTCCAAACAAGGTCCTTACCTTGCATTTGATTGCCATGTGTCTAAACTGACAGTAATTCCTGCCCTGCGCCCCAATCTTATTTTTTCATGTCTTAAGCCCAGAGGTGGTAAGCAGCCGTTTGTCCTGCTCCACATTGGAAATTTGTCCCCGTGCTGCCTTGTCTAGCTTGTCCCTCTACCTGCCATAATTCATTCTAAAGTCTCTTAGTTCAATTTTCTTGATAAAACACTTTTGAACCACAATAGAGGGGCTACAATTAACCCAGTGCCCAGTCACCCAGCAATTTCTCACCAGAAGTTTTCAGAATAAACCACTTTTCACGTCCATCACATTGTTCTAAACGTAAACTCGTGAGTAACACAGGAAAGAGAGTCCTCTTCTTTCCTACAGAGGGGACAACAGCGGAGGGCCAGGGCGCGAGAAAACAGGGGCAGGCAGATCATTTAACGTCTACTCCCGGGGTGGGAGGGTGGGGAAGAGCGTGGAGAAATGTGCTGCTTCAGGTCAGCTGGCACGTCCACCCACCAAAATTAACCTGTGACCTCCACCCCGTCACATAGAAACAGTGACACGAGCTGGCACCAATGCCAAATCACTCAGAGATGAGGACTCTGCTCTGCAGGAATGAAAACCCAGTCCGTGCCTCCCAAGCCTCTGTCACATGTGGCTTAAGGGAAATGCTAAGTTAACCTCAAAGCAGTTGCAAATGGGGTTAAGAACGGGTCAAATGACTGTTCCAGCCTGGATAAACAGGCTTTTCTCTCTTTGTAAAACTGACCAACCAAGTGGTGCCACGTACTCCAGGCTCTGGTTCGCTTTCAGCCTTCAATGAGTCACGTATTAGCAACATCCCCATTTACAGTTGTGATTAAATATGAAAACAGGGCCACAGAAACATTCAGCGGCTGTCCCCCAACAGACGGCCAGGCAAGAGCATCCCCATCTCAGCGATCTCCGCCCCTCTCTCTTCTCTCTCCATCCTTCTCTGCCTCATCACTCCTCTCTTTGTCTGAACTTTTACCTTACGTCATAACATGTCTTAGTTAGGCTTTAAGTTATGCTATGCACATGTGACACTTATTGACAGCAGTTTTAATTCCCTCTCAAGTGGAACACGTTACGTTTTTCTCTTTAAACAAAGCTCCCTAACTACTAGCCGTATGGCTCACAGCAAATTGCTGTATCTTTTTGATTCTCCATTTCCCCAGGATAAAACATAGTGTTCACCCACCCATTTATAAAGGCATTATGAGGAGTAAGTCCATCAGGAGGAACAGACATCCCAGAGCAGCTCAGAGTACGATCTAGCTGGGGACAGAACTGGGAGTCGGCACAAGCAGAGGCTGTGGCTGAGGACGGGGTCTCAGAACACTCTACCTCGTGAGGGGCGAGCAAAGGGGGGAGCCCCAGGGAAGAAATGAGGACTGTAAACCCACTGTTTCTAACGGTTTCAGGGCTCCACTGTGGAGATCCTGGAAAGGACGGTGCAGATGGAAACAGCCCCTCACACAGCCTGCCCACCGACGTGTGGCGTTCCACATAACTAAGCGCCGGTGCAGCCAATGAAGCGTTGAGTGATGTAGACTGACGTCACTACAAACAGCAATACTTCTGTAGAGCATAAAACGATGAGCACGGTTAATGCTGAATGGAATCAAGACCAAGAGCAGTGGGGTTTACAATCCCAGGTGAGGCGGGTGGGGGACATGACCCAAGGGAAATTCTAGAATGACAATATGTGTAGTTTAAGAGCTCCTCTCCTCCCTCTGCGGGTGTTTATCAGAGAAGTGAGCTCTGACAGCTCAGCAGGAAGCCAGGGTGAACCTGCCGGTACAGCGGGGACTGTTCCCCCACTGAGCCTGCATCACGGGGCCTGCCCGTCACCTCCAATTCCCACCACAACAGCTCTTCTCCAGACAGAGTAGGAGTTCGCCCTCAGACTGACATGGGGAAAAGACAGGAAACGTACTTGTGCGCCTGGATTCGAATCTTATTACTAGAATTTGTGTGTGGTCGTGAGCAAATGACCTAACCTCCCTGAGCTCTTTCTTCATAAGGTGAGTGTGAGTTCAAGGTTTTAGAAGAATAGTAACCCTAGGCTATGGCAAGATCAAGGGAGTGAACAACTGAATCAGATGATCAGATAGGATGGAAAGTGTGTTTTGTGTGTGTTGTCTGCATTCATACTGCATCTCCTGGGACTGTGACAGGGCTTAGGGTAAGAGGAAGATGGTCAGGAAGGATCCAATTGCTGGAGGGGCTGGCAAATCATAGCCACAAGGATGGCAGAGATACCACAGGGTTGGCAGAGATATCACAATAGTGATAGTTTTATCGAGGTCAGGGAAGCAAACCATCCGGAACTGGCAGTGAGGAACCCGGGGAACGCCACCCTTTCTCACGACCCTGTAGTATACGGAGAGGTATATCAACCTCCCCACGAGAGGGCTGTGGAGGGAAATGGTTGACTAGGTTTCAGCCAAGGCAAGGAGGTGGAAAGAGGGATCTGGAAGGAGGTTGAGGTTGTGGAGGAGCTTGTTAATAATTAAACGATCATTTCCCAGGTGCAGTGGGAAATGTGCTTATAAAGCGCTGAGAGGAAATGGAAGAGGGGACTTCTTGATCAGCTTGGTAGCTTGGGAAGAATCAGGACAAACTTCTGAGAGGAGGGGCTATGTGACGAGGGTCCTGAAAGACAGTTTCTAGTTAGCAAGGTCAAGGGTGAAAGGAGGAGGAGGGAATGGTAAGCACCAAGTTTCAAGTGGGGGGATGGTGTTTCATGGAGATATGGCACCTGTGTGGTGTGTCATCAATGGCTGTGGTATTGCCACCAACGACTGTGGTATTGCCCCCAAGTGGCTGAATTGAAGAGTATGCTTCTGATCCAACTGAGAATACCTCTTGCTGGCCACATGGGACAGAGGTAAGAGGAAGGAAGCATGGTGTTGGTGAGAGTTTCACGGGCCTCCCCAGAGATCTTGCACCAGATGCTAAATTTCATTCTAGATCATCTTCTCACTAGTCATGGACTCTTCTTGTCTTGCCTAACCTCTAACCTTTTGTGTTTGACCTAATTCTCTTGTCTTGTTGAAAGTTGCAAATATTGTAAACAGTTTATTTTATGACAAACATTGATTACTATTTAAACACTTTGAAACACAGATACTCACGTTGGATAGCATACTAATTTTAGCATACATTAGAACACGAAAGACAATTTAAAAAAAGTATATAAACGGGTGGAGATGGCATAAATATTTAGGGCCAAATCACCGATTGGTTAGATCAAAAGGCTATTTATACCCTAGGCAATCTGCAAACTTTCAAGGTTAACAGGATTAACAATGAGCTCCCTAAATCCTAGGTATATGTGTGTGGGGGGTTACGCATACACATATTTAAGGACAGTGCTGTTGTGAGTACATTTATAAATGAAAGGTCAAATCCTGGAAGATTTGGGTCACGGAGTCAGGCACAAAGGGTCCTCATCTAGAGGAGGAAGGTGGGCACTTAGCCAGGGAAAGGAAGAGAGAGAGTTTAAAACTATGGTAGGGAGAAGTAGAGGAAGTTTTGATGTGAACAGCAACAAATTAAGAAATGGAATGAGTCTTTTCTATTAACCAGAACGACCGAAAGGTTATGAATTGCTCCAATCTAATGAGTGTACCTAACTGCTTATGGTGCCACAGGCATGGAGAAAAACCAATTGGTGTTGATATCCCAACCAGGCAACACTGCTCAATAAACAGGGAACACAGTGTTCCCTTCTCATTTTCTATTCTTTTTCATGAGGTCTCGCTCAACACAGCATGAAGAGCGGTCATACAAGAACAACGTCCCAGCTCTGACACAGGTGGTCACAGTCTCTTTGGGCTTCAGTTTTCTCATCAGGAAAGGGGATAATAAGGTATGTGGGATGCCTCCTAGTGCTGTGATAAAGGACTATAAAAGCATTTACTAGTTTCTTACGCAGCTTTGTTCCCACAGTAGAGTATCATGGACAGTGCTCCACGGCAACATACAGAGCTTTAACAAATCCTGTCACAGCTTCATGACATCCCACGGGATGCTTGTTCAACCACTGCCTTAGGCTACTCACCCAGGAAACACTGCACACATCCTCATACATGTGTCTAGAAAGATGCACCATTTGGTGCTTTTATTCTTAGGATTCTGAACCGCAAAAGCAGAAGGCTGGCTGGAGAGGCATGTGTATTTTAAACTTCCATAACGTGTCAGTGTCTAAAAAGGGGGTTCTAACCATCTCTTCGAGCAATAGGTATGTGAGTGTTAATTATCCAGGGCCTAACAGTATCTGACACTTGGAAAGAGCTCAATATTCTCTTTCACTTCAGAATTATCCAGAAACAACTTGACTTCATGTCCAGAAGACCAGATGTGGCCAGATAGTAAACTTGAGTATTTCCCTGGGGAGAAGAAAATGAGCAGGGATACTCAGAACAGAAGCAATGGAAGAAACAACCACACAGGTGACAAGATATTTTTAAGCACATGTCAAAGATCCTCAGCATCAGTGATAGGAGGAACTTGGAAAGCATTCATCCAGTTCCAGGAGGAGCTGAGGTCTCGGCGCAGACAGCGTGTTAGCACATCCCTTCTCCCCGGACTGAGCTGCTAGTTTGGAAATCTGGGTTCGAGTTGATGCTGATCCCTGCTCAGATACAACCCGAGGGGCAGATTCCGGGGCGAGCCCTCCCAGAGGGCAGCAGATACTTGGTTTCCAGCACTCTTGTGCCTGTATCTTCGTTTCTGTTACATTTTCAGGGAGCAGTATGGAAACCGGCTTTGAGGGGAGACGAGCTGGAGAGGAGCGTTAAGTGAAGAAGTGACATGGATGAGGGCTGTGGGGATAGAGAAGAGAGGGTGGATTCAAGGCACGTGAAGGCATGACGTGGAGAGACTCTGGATGTAGGGACGACACGGATCCACAGCAATGACCACCAGGTGGACGGCAGTGTCTCAGAATCATCAACTGAGCAAGTTACCAAAGAGAGGAGGAGGAGCTCGGGGGAGGGGGTTAGAGGCCAACTAAGAGGATAATTTAATCCTGAAGACAAAGTGTGAGGTATCCTTGGGACCTTGTCCTCTATCTTGTAGCCAGTGTGGGTCTTGAGGGGCACGTGGAGCTGGAAGTCTACGTGTGAGGCGTGGCTGAGGTCACAGACTAACCTGAATTCAGACCCCACAGGTCCCACTTACTAGCAAACGATCAATATGTCTGTGCTTAAGTTTCCTCAACTATAAACTGGAAAAACCATCCTTGATGCTGTGAATGAGATTACCTGATTTGTGGCACCTAGTAGGAACTCAAAAACTGGGAGCTTATGAGCATTTTGAATGACACTAAGGATATGCGGTGAGGAGGTGACAACAGAACAGGCTGGGGAACAGACCACAGGAAGAGTCAACCTCATATGGGAGGTAGCTGCCCCCACTTCTGGGACAGGTAAATACAGGAAGATGACAAAGGACAGGAATGCATGTAACTGGTCAAAGGGAGGGAGGAGGAGGAAGGTGAGTCCACGCCTAATAGCGTGTTGTCTTGTCAAGAGCAACAGACTCAACGAAGAGCAAAGGAGACGGGCAGGAAGCTGTGAGAGAGCAGCCAGGGTTTCAAACAGCTGCCGACAGGAATGGGAGAAAGCTAAGCACAGGCTTCCTGTGCAATTCTTTACCATAAACCTCCATTTCCATGATAAGAATCCATCCTCTGCCCTAGACCACTGGACCCCTCTGGCCAACATGTCCACGCTCACAACAGCAACCATTTATCGGGCAGGTAACATACACTAGATCCCAGAAAGGCACTTGCTAGAGACTCTGAACCCCCCAGGCCAAGACAAAGGAGGCACGTTATCCACACAGCACATGAAAGAAAACAGAAGCCTCAGGATTTGAAGGTCACACAGCTACGAAGTGCCAAGACAGAATGAATCCCGATCTGAGGGCAACACCCGTGCTCTTTCTAGTCAACATCTTTCTGCCTCAACCACTTTCTTGAAAGCGCCAGCGCGTGAACCATCTACATTTACTACATGTGAGAAAGATCTGGGAAATGCAACAGTGTATAGTTATACCTCGTAAGTAATGAATTAATCCCAGGTTTAGGACCCAATCAGATTTTCTTTCCAGTATCATGTATAATACTTTATAAATCCAAATCATTCTGAACGTGGAGTTCTGTACTCTGCTTTATTAAACAACCATATAGCAACCATTTTCTTAAGTCGTTACCTCCAAATGCTCGCACTTTGACAGCCAGAGAGATTTTCAAGAACTCCAGGCTGTCTCTCCTTTGGAATGATCATGTTCATTCAACCACTCAAAAAATAATGACTGAGTAACCAGAGGTCAGGCCCTGTCATGGGTGTTAGGGTCAAAGTGCGATCAGAACAGAGAGGGTCTTTGCCTCCACGTGGTTTATATTCTAGAGGGGAAAGTGGATGACATGTATCTAGTATCAAGTGCTAACAAATAATCAGAAAATGATAGGTGAGGGGTTGTGATGCTTTTGGTATACCCCATTATTTATTAGGTTGGACCACCTGAAACTGCTGATATTCAAGTATTTCTTGACATACAGAACGGGCAACTTCATATGGTTCAACCAGAGTTTCATTTCATCAGACAACAATCAAGGATGCTTCTTGATTCTTATTTTATTCTGTGTATGTTAAAAACCCCCACAATAAGAAGCTTAAAGCAGCTCTCTGGGTCTGCCCCCTCCCCCAGGGGCCCACACATCGCCCATCGGAGCTGGGGATGCTCTTCCAGGAGCCTCAAGCCTCTCAGATGACTGCTCACCTGTCGATGAACTGGTCGATAATGACGATGTCTCCGGGCCGAATCTCCTCCCTCAAGGAACCGCAGGCGGTGGTGACGATGACGTGTGTGCAGCCCTCCTCCTTCAGAGCCCAGATGTTCGCCCGGTAGTTGACTTCTGAGGGCATGATGCTATGCTGCCTCCCGTGCCTGTGGGAGGGACAGGAAATATGGTAGGGAGTGAGAGGGCGTTTTAACACTGTTAGAGAAGAAAACTAACCTACAGCAGTGCCTTCCGGCCCTTCAACCAAAGCACTTCCACTGGCAGAGGAAGAATTAGAAGGTCGGGCAATGACTAGTCCACTGTGAGTAGAAACTACTTGGTCTTAGGCGCACGCCAGCTGTACATTCTACGGATTTATTTTCCTGTCAAGAGTAGGTAATAACTTAATCAGAATTCACTCTCCAGGAAGATGTGCTGTCTCTGTCCTGGGGGGCACCAAACACCCCAGAATCTGGGGCATCTGGCCTTACACGAGCCATGAAACAGAACAAGACATGCCACTGAAGAAAGATGCAAAACAGAAACAGAAACTCAAGTTTCCAGCTGAATCTCTCCATTCCTTTCTGTCTGATCACCTAACTAAGTTAATGATTCATTTAAAACATTAGAGTCCCCAGTTGTTTATGAGGACATTAGAAGGTTTTGTCGAAAAGCCGATCACCTCACGCGTGACCACTGTTATGGGCTGAACTGTCCCCCCAAACTCCTATGGGGAAGTCCTGAACCCCGGTGCATCAGAATGTGACTGTATTCGGAGACGGGGTCTTGAAAGAGGTAATTAAGTTAAAATGAGCTTATTAGGGTGGGCCCCACCCCAACACCAATGGTGTCTTCAGTAGAGGAGGAAATCTGGACACACACAGAGGGAAGGACACGTGGAGACACAGGGAGAAGATGGCCATCTGCGAGCCAAAGGGACAGGCCCGGAACACGTCTTCGCTCCGGCCCTCAGAAGGATGCAGGCTGCTGACACCTTCGTCGTGGGCTTCCGGCCTCCAGAACTGTGAGGACACAACTTCTTTCCACCCAGCCTGTGCTCCTTTGTAACGGCAGCTTCGGAAAAGCTAATGAAACCACCAATGATTCCTGTCACACTTCAAATAAAATCCAAACATCCTACACCCACGGCCCTCACGCCATGTGGGCACCAGTCTACTAACGCCACCTCGGCCAGTCTTTATCCCTTCCTGTCCCAACTCAGCTCACTGGCTTCTCGCTGCTCATCCACGCTCATTCCTGCTCAGGCCTCGTCAGGTCACAGCTCCAGTGTCACCTCCTCAGAGAAGTGCTTTCCATGACCACTGCGTCTAAGTCACACCACTATCCCATGACCTTGTTTTTCTTTCTAGCATCCATCAGCAACTGAAACTTTTCCTTTTCAGTGTCCGTCTTTCCCACTAGAATCAGCCCCGAGAGGGCAAAGCCCCTGTCTGTCTCCTTGCTGGTACCTCGAACAGGAGCTGCCATGTGTAGCTCAATTTTCTGGACAAACAAATGTGTTTGGTGGCAATTCTTTGAGCACTTAAACACGCACACGTACACCCAGAGCATCAGTAAACAGCCAGTAAAGGGAACCCAATTTCTAAGATTATTTCTAAAATTCACACGTGTCAGATGGTTACTCACAAGCAGTATTTCACATGGAAAGTTAAAATTATTCTTGGCTGCTTCACAAACTACAAATATCACACATGCTGTTCTAGCACAGAAAGGCCACATGTCAAGAGCCCAGCGTTCTTCACATGTGATAACACTGAGACAGGCTTTCAAGGAAGTAACCGAACACACAAAAATCTCACTGTGTGCAATGATGATTACAAGTGTGGGCTTTGGAGTAACAGTGCCTGGGTTCAAACCCCAGCTCTGCCACCTACTAGCCATGTGACCTCATCAAAGCCACTCAGCTCTCTTGGCTCAATTTTTTTCATCTGTAAAACGCATAATAAAAATACCTGCACCACAGGGTCGTTATTAAATATCCCTTGTATCATCCCATAGATATGTTTTAAAAGCAACTTTAATGTCTTTTCTGGTCACTGACAACAGAATTATTAAAAACATTAACATAATTTGTATATAACTTCAGACAAGTGTATGATCAGGGTTTTTACCCTGAGTTCACAGATGTCCTCTCAGAGGGCGGAGGCCCAGGAATGCCCAGAAAGCACATGCATTTTTCTAAGACTGGGCTCCAAAACTCGGATTAGATTTTCAAAAGAAATTCAGACATCAAAAGCAGGTAAGAACCACTGTGTTAAAGGCTCAAATAGTTGACGGTGTGACACGCCCCAGTTCAGTGGGCAGGAGTATAAAATTAAGCGACTCTCCAGCAATGACCATAGACCAACAAAGAAGGTTGCCTGAAACCAACCCTGTGTGAGCATCTGAAACTAAAATTTAATTCTACTGCATTCAGCTGAGCTTTTTTAAATTTTATTTTTATAGAGGTCATACTGGCTTATAACACTGTGTGAATTTCAGGTGCACATTATTATATCTCAGTTTCCGCCACCAACAGTCTAGGTTTTACACATCACTATACATCTGTGCTCCTTTACCCCTTTCTCTCCCCCCCTACCCTCTTCCCCTCTGATAACCACTAATCTGTTCTCTTTATCCATGTGTTTATCTTCCATATATGGGTGAAATCATATGGTCTTTGTCTTTCCCTGTCTGGCTTATTTCACTTAGCATGACACCCTCAAGTTCCATCCATGTGGTCACAAATGGCATTTTGTCTTTTTTATGGTTGAGTAGTATTCCATTGTGAGTAGTATTCCATATACATACATACACGTCTTCTTTATTCCTTCATCAGTTGATGGGCACGTGGATTGCTTCCACGTCTTGGCTATTGTGAATAACACTGTGATGAACATGGGAGTGCATGAACCTCTCTGAATTGTTGACTTCATGTTCTTTGGATAAATACCCAGGAGTGGGATAGCTGGATCACATGGTAGTTCTATTTTTAATTTTTTGAAAAATCTCAATACTGCTTTCCATGGTGGCTGCAACAGTCTGCATTCCCACTAGCAGTGGATAAGGATTCCCTTTCCTCCACAGCCTCTCCAACATTTGCTATTTCTTGTCAATTATAGCCATTCTGACGGGTTTAAGGTGAAATCTCCTTGTAGTTTTGATTTGCGTTTCCCTAATAATTAGTGATGTTGAGCATGTTTTCATGTACCTCTTGGCCATGTGTATATCTCCTTTGGAAAAATGCCTGTTGATATCCTCTGCCCATTTTTTGTTCAGGTTGTTTGTTTTTATATTGTTAAGTTGTACATGTTCGTTATATATTTTGGAAATCAACCACTTGGTCAGACAGATGGTTTGCAAATATTTTCTCCCAGTTGGTAGGTTGTCTTTTTGTTTTGTCCAAGTTTCCTTTCACTTGCAGAATCAGTGAAGCCATTTCTGTTTCAAAAACGCAGTGTGGAAGAGAGAGCCTAGGGTGGTTCCCAAATTTCATGCTCTGAATAACTCCTCCTCCTCAACTGCAGGGGGACCCAAGACTCACTTCCAACCAATAGAATACAGCAAATGCGCTGGGAGGTCCTCCCAGAGTCAGGCTCCACCTGGCCAGCACACACTAGAGACTTCCTGCTGGCCTTGGAGAAGCAAGCAAGCTGTTGTCATATGAACTGCCCACGGAGAGGGCCACATGGCATGGAATGCGGACCACCTCTGAGAGCTGAAGGCCTCAGTCCTACAACCCGGAGGAACTGAATTCTGCCACCGAAGGAGAACCTGGAGCTCCAGATGAGAACAAGCCCTTGAATGACCTTGTGTGACCCTGAACAGAAGACCTGGCTAAGCTGTGCCCACGCTCCTGTTCACCTGGCAACTGAGTGATAACGTATGCTATTTTAAGCCGCTAAATTTGTAGTAATATGCTATGCAGCAGTAGAAAGCTAACAGATGTAGTCTGACTAATTTCTAACTGTGTGATAAACATAATTTGCCTCCTCTATAATACGGAACAGCACTAGCCTTGTCAAGAAAACAAGGGTGTGGACACCAGAGAAACCATTTCAGGGACCAGAAAGCCACTCTCTGAAAACTTAGAACTATTGCCACACAAGGGGTCATGAATGAAGCAGTTTTGCTTTAACTTGTTAATTAGAAAAAGAAGAAGGAAAGAGAAACAGAAGAAAACATTTCTTCCTGTAGCTAGAACTGAAACCAGAGCTTCGACTGTAGTCAGACTCATCTTATCACTCACTGCATTATTCTAACCACTTTCTCAACCTAAGCTGGGGGATGGCGGTGGGGGGGAGTGGGTCTTGATCTCAAAAGTCAATAAAACTTCCCCAAACCCTAAGTGGTCAATCACAGTGACTAAGATGCCCTGGCTCCAGCAACGCATAAAATCTCATACCTGCATCACTACTCTTTCTAGAACTTAACTTTAAATTCTCCTTTAGTAACATTCAAAATGTTTTGAAATACATTACCGTGCAAGGAGAATGCAGTCAACATTCTTTATCTTCCCCAAAATTAAGGCATCAGAAGGCTGCACATAATGAAAAATGGTTACAACTCAGTGAGTTGAAAACATACATATGAATGATTAAAAAGCTGCCATTTCAACGGTTCCACCACAACAGGATTCCCAGAAACTTGGAGTCTGAAGATACGCTTCAAAGAAGTAAAGAGTCTGGATTTGAGGATCGACTTGATCACCCCATCAGTCCTCACTGAGCCCTCTCTGAGCACAGAGAGTCACCGGAAGGCCACCCTGGTGCGTGGGGAGGTCCCCTTTAGTAAGAGCTCTTTGTAGCAAGCACCCCAGGGCACTCTGATGATATGATCGTCAACTACACATGTGTCAAGGGTATCTGGCAGGTTCAAGAACAGGTGTGAGAGTGAAACGTGGGAAGGACAGGAGGCCCTTGTCATGGAATTTAGGAACTCAGCACTGGAACTGTGTGCCACGTTACCCGGGTTTAAGATGGCCATGCAGTGACCTGAGGTCATGGAGGGAAAGGTCCTGAGAACCGAGGAGGTGAAGACAACGTGAGGGGAAGAAGTGAACTGAGCCGACCGCAGGGCTTGGAGGACGTGAGGTCCATCTAAGGACTTGGCTGAAAAGGAGAGAGTTTAGTTGGGACTGCCAGACGCAGGATCCTGGTGGGAGGATGAGAGGAGCTGCCATGTCTGGAAGGAGCACTATGGAATCAGGAGGAGGGAGACTCCCGCGCCCTGGCTGGGTGACATGTGGGCTGGAACAAACAGCCTCCTTTTAACAGAAAGGAGGAGTTTTATTTCCAGTTCAGTTATGCAATCATGCGGTGGATCCCTGAGAAACCCCCCTTTGGGCAGGGCTTCCTAAGGAAAGGCCGCTTGGCAATGACATTTCCTCCCATCTGTAATCAGTCTATCTGCTAAATTAGTGTGGTGTGACATGTGGGCCCCAAATTAGAAGCTGATTTGGATGCAGAGACCTGAAAAGTACCGTTGCTGTGTCTGCATGAGCATCTGGCTTCCAGGGACAGAAGTTGAGAAGTTAGTGCACATGTTCAAAAGCCACGTTCTCTCCCGTATGCCCCAGGTATCCTCAGGGCCACTGTCTCAGCTGGTGGGACCCAGTGCCAGGACTCCGGCCCCTCTCAGCCTGGGGGAGGCAGCCCTGGGCTGCCAACACAAAAGCAATTTAAAAAATTTTTAAATTTTTTAAAATTTTTAATCTTAAAAACCAAGCCAGCAAGGAGAAAGGAAAAAGCTAGTTTGTCTCCACTAATTGGAGACTAACCTTGCCAAACGGAGTATCCACATATTTTTCAGTTCTTCCTTCTAAGATTTCTGAATCATCCAAGCCTGTTCCGCCGATGATTCCAATCTAAGGGAGATAAGAAAAAGATACCATATTTGATCATTTTTCATTAAAAACAAAACATTATTTTCAAAAAATTCATTTATTTATACTCAACTGCTCTTCTCCATTCTCGCTAAGCCCTATGTTTTTAAAAATCAGAACATTAGTGAAAAACAATCATTCATTCAACAAACATTTGAAAGCCTACTATATTCTAGTAATAACCAAAGTATGAGGCTATTGGACTCTTATCATATTTATTGGACTATCTGAATAGCAAATTAGCAAACAAAGGTACTTTAACTAGCTTAAGTTAGAAAACCAAACCTAAAAATAAATAAATGTGGGGGCCAGCCTAGTGGCACAGCACTTAAGTTTGCACGTTCCACTTCCGTGGCCCGGGTCCACTGGTTCAGATCCCAGGTGCGGACCTATGCACCGCTTGTCAAGCCATGCTGTGGCAGGTGTCCCACATATAAAGTAGAAGAAGATGGGCACAACGTTAGCCCAGGGCCAATCTTCCTCAGCAAAAAGAAGAGGATTGGCAGCAGATGTTAGCTCAGGGCTAATCTTCCTCAATAAATAAATAAATAAATAAATGTGGTTGTGGGAAGGACTCTCTAATCAATCTTATTTTCTCTACTAAATAGGCTATGGCATAAAGAATGTTCAAAAGACTGCTGGGATAGAAAATACTCAGTATAGCCATTTGGTAATGATTGCTCCTCATTACCCCACTTGATAAAGCAACAGAGATTTCTCTTTCCTATGCCACTAAAATCACAGAGCTGTAGGGGATGAGATAGAAGAGTCTGGAATAGCAGGAAACGTTAGCCTCATGTATATTTATGAAATCCAACTGTCCTTCATACACATATGTAAATATAAGTAAGTAATTCAAAGGGAGTTCTAAATTTTTTTTAAGTTCAAGTGTTGAAGTGCATTTTCCAGAGATTAATTTAACAGTTCTTGTCTTCAGGGATTAACTGGAGTTAAAGAAACTCGGCACCACCCTCTAGAGTAATCCAATTCGATGACTAAGAAACACAAACAAGAACAATTACACAAATAACTAAACATTAACTGAACTGTTAACGAAAAATGAAATAACTGAAACTAGGAAGGTTTCCCTGGGCTGATAATTCCTAGAGGAGAAACAGTAATTAAATTGTCCTGTTTAGATTTAAACAGGCTGTAGAGAGAACACTATACTGGAAATCTAACGGAAAGGGAACTGAGCACTTCCTTTTGTCAATGAAAAGTTTTAAATCTGTTGTCACTTGAATAAAATTTCTACTAAATAGAAAAAGTAGCTCCTTGAGAGAAAATTCCAGAGTTAAGAACTCGCTGAACAACTGAATGAAATATTTTCAGATCAGGTTCCACAAGTTGATTTACGTTAATACCTTGGAAAATGGTTACCTCTCTGGCCCTCAGTTTCCTGAAAAAGAAAAATCCAAAGAAGAAGATAATAAGGACATTTTAGGAAGATTTCACAGAAGAACTGCAGGTTACGGGGTTGAGAACTTCGTGTCCCCACAACTTCCTTAAGCGGCTAAAACAGTTTGTGAAGTTGGTGCCACCTTGTGGTGCATTGTTGGAACCACAGCAGGTTACCCGTTCTAGCCAACCCATTTCTTTCTGACAGTTTTCAAACCAACAAAAGTGGTCACTTAAGTCAGTACATTTAAATCACGCCAATTCAGTAGATGTTTTTTAAATAACACTGTTTGATGCAATGCTAAGCCTTCCTCTAGCTGGCTTCTCCGTTTTATCCTCCATTTCACATTCTCTGAAGCACCAAGATCACGGGGGGCCTAATGCACGGTCCAGCCCATGGCATCGCCCAGAACACAGAACCGAACTGCGGACTCTAATTATCTGGGATTCTGCTGCTCATGGAAACTTCTGGTTTTTTGTTGTGTTTGCTTATTTCCACTTTGACTTGGTTGATTCTGAATGCTCCCTGGGCCGTGGCCCCCCCATTCCGGATTCAGCACTAACTCTCGGACTTGTACACACGAAACACAGCCCACACCGTCTTCTGAAACCACCCTCTCGGTTCAGGAAGCATCGCAGCCGCGGGTGAGAAACGCTGACCAGGGGTCCTGCCGAAGTTCAGGCCGTCGAGCCCACCCTCACGGCCCCAAGCTTCAGTCCACACCACGCTGGCTGCACGAGGACTGCATTAGAAGCTGGTACTCAGCCCTCAGCGAGGAACATGGAGTGCTGGCCACGAAAAGAAGAGCTGCTCCTGCTCGCCAGAAAGGCCAGGGTGGGGCCTCCGGCTCTGGAATTATCTGCAGGTGGGCACATCCGGTCACCCAACCGGCTCTGCTTGTTTATGGAAAACCGTATCTAGCAAGGGTTACAGGACAAGTGTAGCGACTGAGTACTGCCTCACCAGGGACCTCTAACCATTTTCCTGCTGCAGAGGGAGGCCAGCAGTGCCAAGATGTGGCAATGCCGCCACCTGCTGGCCCATAGCAGAGTACGACTAGGACGAAACTCCCAAGCACGGATGGCCTAATTCTGTCCACCCCTTAGCCTCCAAATTCAACAGTCAACTCAGGCCCTGCCGTGGTAATAAAGGAACTGGGTCTCAGCACCTACACGTCACAGGCACTGTGCTAACCGCCTCAGCGGCCTCACCTCCTCTGATCTTCTCATCCGCCCTATAAGATAGGCCCTGCAGTATTACACCCATTTTACAGAGAAGGAACGCATACAAATCAAGACACTTCTCCAAGAACAAATCATAAGCATCAAAGCTGGAAGAGGAACCCAGCTCTTTCACACTCACCCACGATGACGGACCAGCTCCCAACACCCCCTGGAGTCCTTTATAACGTCAGACCCTATGAGAAAAGTTTCACTGCCTCCATGTACTGAGGAAACTGATGCTCAGAGGGGTCAAGTTCTGGACCAAGGTCACAGAGCAAGCACAGAAACGATGACTCTGGGCGTCTAAGTGAACCTGGAGGGGAGAGGGGTCTCCATCGGTGACATCAGCCACACTCAGACAGCAATGACAAGACCTTACCAGGCCTCCTGGGCCAGCAGCATCAGCCCTCAGTCCAGGCAATCCTAGGAGGCCTAGGAAATGTGTTCGAGGACCGAGATGGAATTTCTGGGCCAATTCTGCCCAGCCAGGACTTCTTCATTGCACGTGATAAAGTTCTGAAACAGGGACCTCCAGTCAATCAAGGTCATTGGCAAATTTTAACAATTAGTGGTCCATCCCACACTTTCCATGATGGAGCAGCCAGTCAATCTCCACAAAAAGAGGAGAGCGTCTGCCTTCCTCTCTGAGACCTGAAAGCATTTCGTCTAAATGCTGGCTTACCTGGCCGGAATGCGTACTTCCAGCAGTGGCGAAGGGCTCACACTAACCCCTCCCCTGCGTCTATGTCCACTGGTACCTGGACCCAGGGAACCTCACATAGCTCACCTGGTTTCAGGAACCACTCACCATGACTTTGGGGCAGGGACACGCTACCTCAAGGAGCCCAGCACTCAGTGACGGCATTCTCAAAACCCCACACCTCCAAGCTGTGGAGACCAGCTCATGCCAGGGAGACGGCTGCCTCTGGGTGCCTCAAGCTCACGAGGAGGCAAGGGAGCCAGAGCTCGAGCTGGCGGCACTCCCTGATCTCAACATCTCAGTCCTTCGGCTCTGGTTGCCACTGGCAAGTCTATGCAAGCACACAGCCTTCTTGGGCCGACCTGGCTTGGAGGCCTCCCAGGGCCTTGCAAACTCCTGGAAGTCCAGCTGTATGGGGAGAGAGTGGCCCAATGTCCAGTCTGGGAGGCCTGTTCAAAACCTGCAATGTGGTCCACGAAGATAACTGGGGCTCCATCTCTGACATGACTCCCCCTCTGTAAGCCAGCCAGGTAGGTGATGGTTACGAGCTGAAATGCTTCCCCCAAATCCGTATATTGAAGTCCTAACCCCCAATACCTCAGAGTGAGACCATATTTGGAAATAGGGTTTTTGAGGAGGTAATTAAGGTTAAATGAGGTCACAGGGGGTCCCTAATCGAATATGACTGGTGTCCCTATAAAGGGAGATTAGGACACAGACATACAAAGAGCAAAGACCATGTGAAGGCACAGGAAGAAAGCCACCTGGAAGCCAAGGAGCGAGGCCTCAAGAGAAACCAACCCTACAGACACCTTGATCTTAGACTTCCAGCCTCCAGAACTACGAGGCTAAATTTCTCCTGCTTAAGCTACCCAAGCTGTGGTCCTTTATGGCAGCCCAGCAAACTAATACAGTAATGCTATGCAGTCGTGCGCCACGTAACAACGTTTCAGTCAACCACAGACCACATATACCATGGTGGTCCCATGAGATTAGCACCATACGGCCTAGGTGTGTAGTAGGCTGTGCCATCTAGGTTTGTGTACATGCACGCTATGACATTCACACAACAAAATCACCTAACAACACGTTTCTCTGAATACATCTCCATCATTAAGCAACCCATGACTGTATTTTGCTCAGAAATAACCTGAGGGCCCAGAGCATCTTTGTTTTTTATTTAACCAATCTCCTCTTGAAAAATCAAGATACTACTCTAACAGGTAGACACTCTCTGGAAGATACAGTTCCCCTCCTGAGATGGCCCGCTACTTTGAGGAGGGTTTTCCTCAGTGCTCACTGTAATCTGTAGAGCTCTCCTTGGCTTGTGGATCAGCGGCAGGTTCCTCCCGGTGCTCCTCCTGGGTCCTCTGCTGGATTCTAGAATCCCCCAGGATGCTGTCAATACCAAAGCCCAGGGCCCAGACTCCAGAGAATCTCATTAACTGGGCAAGGCAGAGTTCGTTTTCTTCAAGGTCCCCAGGTGGTTCCAGTGTGCAGCCAGATTTGAGCACCATTCCTCTAGGGCCCAGATCCTAAATTTTAAAATCTGGGCCAGCCAAGCATCATAGGCTGAATAATGGCCCGTGAAAGAGATCTTATCTGCATCTTAATCCCCAAAGCCTGTGAACACTACCTTAGCCAATTAAGGTTCTTGAGATCCATAATCTGGGATTATGGGGTGGGCCCTAAATGTAATCACCAGAGTCCTTATAAGGTCAAATGAGAAGGCGATGTGATGTTGGAAGCAGAGGGATGCTGGGTGGTATGATGCCGGCTGTGAACCAAGGGATGCTGGTGACCTCTAGAAGCTGGAAAAGGCAGGGAAATGGATGCCCTGTTATATCCTCCAAGAGGATCTGCCCTGCTGACACCCAATTGTAGCCCCGTAGGACTCATCCTGGACATCAGCCCTCCAGAACTGCAAGAGAGACATTGCGCTGTTTCAAGCCATCCAGTCCGTGGTAACTGTTACAGCAGCCACAGGCAACTAGGACACTAGGGCCCCCCTGAGGAGCTGGGTGAAAATGCAGACACACTTCCGTGGGCATCTGACTCCAGGGAGGCTCTTTAAAACCCAGACCCTGGGCCCCGCCCCCAAGAATTTCTGATTCAGCAGGACTGGGGTGGGGCCCAAGAATCTGCATTCTAACAAATTCCCAGGTGGGCTTGGAGAACCACCGCTGTAGATGCTTCTGAGGCACAGACTAGGATGCCACGATCACAATCCCAGTGAAGGACCTGGAGTCCATTGCACACAAAAGTTTCTATCACCTGTTTCCTCATCTGCACCTAGAAGGGGAAGATTTTTCCTTAATTCAGAGAACTGTGAACATCAAATGACATAATATATTATTACCTGTCACTGTTTCTGTACACACTCCCACCTCCAGCAAAACCTAACCAAATCAAAACAAACTTTGTCAAAGCAAGAAAAAATGCCCCTTATCTCTTTCTCTGCTGGTCAGGACGCAAACCTGGCTGCTCCGACGTCTCCTCACCGGGCCATCTCTGTCTCGGGGATTTAGTCCAGGGCCCTCACCCGAGCATGAATCGGCTCTCCTGGGGGTGTCTGGAAACCCAGGGGACATTTCTGGCTGCCACAATGACTGGGGGAGTGCTACTGGCATTGGCATTTTGTGGGGAGGGGCCAAGATGCACCATCCATCCTGCAATGCTCAGGACAGTCCTACAGAAGGAGGAAGGTCCTGCCCTAAATGCCATTGTGTCCCTAGGCAAAAAATGAAGACTCACTGGTCATCTGGTTTCCAGTTGTGGCCTGTGGGTTGTCCCCCAGGTTCGGAGGGTCACTCAAGGCCTTTCATTCTGAAGGCCTTTGCTGGCCACAGACAGCCAGCCAAAAAAAGAGCTTACCAGGCCTGTTCTCCACAGTCTAGACTCCACGACTTGCCCCTTCCCCTTAATACCATTTGTTGAGAGGCCACCGATGAGGGAACCATATCCCCTCCTTGCCATAGCAACCAAGATTACATCATATTTATTTTTAATCCTCCAGAGCAAAAGCTGGGCAGCTGCCGGACGGGGCCATAGCCCATTGAAGGAACCCTCAGAATGCCCTGTCCGGATGCCAAGGACAGGTTCAGCCCTCTTCGTGGTGAAGCACACCACCCGCCCGTGGCTGATAAGGACGACACCTCCCTGAGGTCCACCCAGAAAACGGCTGTTCTCAACACCACGGGAGAGCGCCCCATGGGCACAGGGAGGCAGCCTGCTTTACGCCCTCACTCCACACTCCCTCTGCCTTAAGGCTGCAGGATCTCCTTACTCCACAACGAAACAGAGCAGAGACCACACGTCACATTTCAGAAATGCCTCAGAACATCCAGCTGGTGGAACGCCAGGCTCTAGGCCCAATTCTGTCACTATCTAGGGCCAACTGTGTAAGTCTGGACACCTCAGTTGACCTTTCTGGGCCTCAGCTCTACGTCCACAAAAAGGGGTTTGTGTGGCTATATGGTCTCAAGGAACGTTCCAGCTCTACCTTCCACGATCTGAGGATAGGATATGGCTTCTATAAGCCTGCTTTGCTCTGGACACTGGCACCTCGTGTTTTCTATGTGGGATGTTGGTTCAGCAGTTGGGGGACTGCAGTTGGCATCATGGATTCTCAACAGCAAAGTGGTCACCTTCCCATCCTCAGAGACAGAAAGCAGCAGGCAGGCCCGGCACTATGTGGACCTCAACTTTATAGTGAGCTGCTCGCCAGGACCAAATATCTGCCTCCTTCAATAATCACCTCGGGGCTCGACCACAGCGCCCACTCTGCACTTAGCGCACCAACCCAATATCACAGGGCCCCTGGGTGCAGGGAGAATGAGGAACCAGATTAAAGCGACACTGTCATAAATAGCATCCCTCTCTGTTTTCAATATCACTTGAATTGCATTCCCGTAAGGGACAGGTCAGAGTTTCCTGCTTGCCCACTGAAGGCTGGGGGCTCATGACACCTATCATGACCATTCAATTGTTGGAGAAAAGATATTCAAAATTACTCTCAGCTCCCCTACTTAGAAGCACTACCATTTAATAAGTTTCAACCACGTGCTGGGCAGACAACACAAGTCTAAAAGTCCCAGGAAACTCTGCGGTAAAACCCCCACTTACAGATAGACACCTAAGGACCTCGCTTCCTTTGCACAGGAGCTTCATTAAAAATGCTTTCTGCCTTGTTCTCAGTGACTGGTGAGGGAACAGCGTTCCACCAATATCTGTTGAATGCAAGATCCTTTTCAAAATGGCAAAAGGAGTTTCATAAGGAAGTGTGACTGCGACCCCCCCTTCTCCCCATCATAAGTGTCTCATTAAGAGCTGCAAGGACCTAATAAATGAATCCCTCTGGCTCATTACACGCTGACCCCAGAGATTTGTCTTCTCCCTGGATAAGTGAACACAAAGCGGGGAATCACAAGAGATTCCCGAGAAGGCGGTGGACCTTCCTATCCCATCCGCCAAGAATTTCTCAAGTCAAACAAGTAAGGTGGGTTCTTAGCCAATCACAAACAGCCTAGAAGAGATCTGAAGATTGATCACCAGTTCTTCCCTAGGCTCTGTGACTCTTCACTCCCTCCCAGGCACCAACCAGGAAAGAAGTGTTTGTTTAAAAGCCCCAGGGAAGCTCGCGGCTCGCTTCAGAATTCCAGCCCTTCTCTGGCCCAAGCTCCCACCGCAGGCGATCCCTTGTACGCAGACCTCTGAGGTCCGAGGGCACGAGAAAACTGACTTCTAACTTTCCAGGTTGCAAACAAAGCAGTTTAAAGCCAGAGTCCTCCAAACAGGGAGGAGCCCTGTACTGTCTTCCACTTCGGTGCTGTAAAGAAATCTCAGAATCCCAAAGCATTGCGCTGCAGGGGAAAACCTCAGAACAGAGATGTCCTTTGGGAAGGAAAAAACAAAGCCAGAAGCTTGCAAAATGGCAAGCACGCAGTTCTCCCACGTGGTCCGTGGGGCAGCGAGCCTAGCAGAGCGGAAGCGTGAATCTGGCGGCGCTCAGAGAGAGCTCTCACCAGCTGCAGGGCCCCCTCACCTGGCACACGTGCTAGCCTCAGCCAGGCGCATCTCCCCGGAAAGGAATGGCGCCTGGGAAGGGTTGGGGGCCGGGCGCAGCCCCCGCACTGTCCCTCTCCAAAGGCCAGCGCACGCCCTGCCTGGTGCGGATGCAGCTGTGCGAGTTTGCAAGCGTTCCCTGTCCCCTCGCTCCCCGCCCCTGGGAGACCAGGCCCGGGATGCCGTGCCCCAGACCCTCCCCGCCGCGACGAGGGCGCACAGGCAGGACGCAAGGCCTGGAGGCACGATCCCCCGGGGCAGCAACGAGAGAGCACAGGGCAGGGCGGACCGAAGCCGCCGGTACCAGTAATCTCACCTTCACAGTCGCGGGGCTGGCACCTGGGGCCATGTCTGCGCGAGGAGGGCTCGGCAGCCTCTCCAGGCGCGGGGAGCAGGCGGGCGCGTGGGGCCAAGAAGCTCACCGCCAGACTGAGCCAAGCGAAGTCCGGGAGCGACCCTGGCTCCTCCTCTTCCTCCCGGGGACAGCTGGATTGGCTGCTTGTGTGGCATCGCCCCCTCCACCGCGCTCCTCAATTCGAGGTTACCGCGTCCCGCCCCTTGGGCGGACCTTCCCGTTCTGTGGTTTTCTTCACTCCGGGTTGTAACTAACAGGTCGATAATGATAATGGAGACGGTTACTTGAGCGCTTGTATTGTCCCAGATTCTGTGCTTTGCACTTTAATCAGCCTTGTTAATTTTCATAAGAACCATAGAGTGTTAGCTGCGTCTAAGGCGTTGTCTGTAAAATCAGGCCCATTTGCCTTCCAGAAGTTCTCATGGGAGCGAGATTCCTCCAGAGGAAGGAACTGGCTGTTCCCAAAGGTTCCCTCCAGCTGTCAACCTGGGGCGGGGCGCGGTTTGCTCTTCCTACCCAGGTGACCCGACCCGACCAGGGGTTTGCTCCTTTGCCTGAATTCCTGGAGGACAGAGCAGGAATGGGGTTGACCCGAGACTCAGGGATGACAAAAAGGAAATACACAGGGTTACATATGCAGGATAAACTTTCTGATTTACGAACTATGGCTTATTGATCTTCAACCTGAGGGGAGAGTTTTAAAGGGGATGAGACGCTGCCTCACTCCCACCCCGGCTATCTTTAACCCCTCCCACCTCGGACAACGGCCCATACGCCTAGGTTCAGAATCCAGACTCATGTCTTCATCATTCAACACTGGCTGGTCACCACCATCTCGGCCCCGCCCCCTGCCCCAAACACACACACAGCAGACACACACCCCAACACCACCACCAGCCTCCACTGGGATAATCCCTTACTCTCAAAATCCCAATCCTTTCCCTACTGGGGTAATCCAATTTACCCTCCTTTGATGGATTAAGCTCTCCTAAACAGAATGGGTGAGAGTAATGTTCTGAGATGCAGAAATGCGGCAGATTACTCTGGGGGTGGGAGGATGGCTGTGGAAGTGAAATGAGAAGAAAAATGTTAAAAAAT